TTTACCCATTTATAGACCTCCACCCCTCCCACTGCATTACTCCAAGGCTCATTGCCAAGGTAACCGCCAGCACTCACCTCCTCCTAGACATCCTGGCAAGGTGAGAGCATGCTCACACAAGCACACACTGAAACAAACACACGACAATATCCAAAGAGTCTACTCTTTCCTATGAATCAGCATTTACTACAGAAAGGCAAAAAGAGGTTTCCCAGATCATTCATAAACAGGCCACTTACGGAACAAAAATTCCTCCATAATGACACACTGGGAGCATGTCTGTGTGAACCCCATCATATCCTGTGACATTTCATCGCCACGTAATAACTGCAGTTGTTTTTCCGTCAGCAGCAGCAAACTAGAGTTTTTTTTCCATACCAAAATCTGTGCCCAGTTACTTCAGCATGGAAGATGAGGAGGTGAAGAAGGGCAGGGAAAGTTAAGAGGAAGACGCTTGTATTGTTTTTCATACCTGATAAACCTCCATCCTCTGTCTCCCCATGGTCAGACCTGTCAAACTCTGTTTCCTGGAATTCTGGTTCCTGAGGGAAGTGTGTGGGAAGAGAACACAAAGGGATTCTGTCAGTCATTGTAAGGTCATCAATGAATAACAAACACATTAATCCAGTGGACATTTCTCTTCAGAGTATTGTCTGGGTCATCATAAAAAGTTAAATCCATGAATGTGACAGTAGTTTAATTACGGTTTTGCATACAAAGAACACAATAAATTGATGGCTGTTGTCAAATCATATAATACCATTTTGTTTGGGAAACAGTGTTTCTTGCTGTTTTTTTTTTCCTCAGTAGATAACTGAAACTGACTTCTGTTACTGGATATAGATTCAAGCTATGTAACACAGGGCGTCAAATGATAGCAAATTTCTGTACAAGAAGATGTTACAGCAGTGATAATACAACGCATTGTTGATAGACAAATGATAGACAAATGAGACATGCAAACATCAGTATAACAGACTGAGCTTATCGTTCCTTTATTTTTAGTCTCTGCTGGCTTCAGCAAAGATGTTAGATTCTGATATTGTACTTTCTGTCAACCGTTGGAATGGTTCCTGCTGTCTGATACACTCTCAGGCTTTTCCAGCTTGACTATCTTCAGTAAACTCAAATTTTCAGCAGAAACTTAGAGCCTCACATGACTGTGGATTGCTCAGAGGGCATGTGAGGAGTCAGCTTTTATTGTTTTTATATATATAAAGAGAGATCTTCAAAATCTGCTAAACCTGTTCTTTCATGATGACGACTGTAAACAAGTCACAGCCCTAACAGGCCAACTAAAGTCTGACAGAATTTCTTTTTTGCTTCTCCATATTTGCACAAGACATAAACAATATTAACATTTAGGTTGAAAAGTAACAGAATCTCATTTGATAGTTTATTGTGAAAACATTTCTAGGAAACATTTATTGGGGGGTGAGGGGGGGTATGTATGTCTGTGTGTGTACTGCATAGAATAACAGTATTTGACAGCAGAAGGCTCCGGATCAAGGAAGTGCCCTAAAAAATGTCTGGTTTCAAGGGTGGGGTGAGGGGATAGACACTCCAAAGGATTTATAACTCGCTGATAATGACGCTCAAACAAAGATAAAGCCTGTGAGCCCAGGAGATCAAAGCTACATCTGTTGGGCTGGAAGAAACTGACACACACTGCAGAATGACCCAAAACGCTCAGTTTACTTACACAATTATTCATTTCTCGTGTCTTTTCACACAGAGCTTGTCGTTAAACGCTACCAGCAACACTTTTACACCATTCAGCACAGCAACAGATGGGATATTAATTTGTGCCTTGTGGATAGTCGCTGTGAGTAGTCAGCTGATAATGTGCCACAAGGGGGCCGCTCATCGTCACGTGACTTCTGTATTACAGTCAGTGCATCAGCATTTTTTAAAATGTATTCTGTTGTCCAGATCAAGAGGAAGTGAGGCTGGGGGTATACACACACAGCTGACATGTATTTGGCCTTTTGTAATATTCTGACATAGAAATTACCTTGCAGTTTCTTAGCACAGTAAAGGCGAGGCAGAAGTATGTCAGGCAAAGGCTGGTTGTGTGTTTACAGGCTTAGGAATTGTATGTACATTGCAGCCAAGGATTGACCATTGTGCTCCATTTCAAGGCTGGCCCAAGGTTGTAAAATATAGCATTTGTTTAAACTTTTGTCATAGCTTGGTTCAGCATTTGTGTCAGGCTCTGATGCAACTAGCTGTCATTGACACACATAAAGACACTCTCTTCCAATAAATCCCACCCCCTGCCCCAGCTAATTCCTCTGCAATCTACAATGCTCATTAGCATTATTGATCAGAGCCCGAGGACACGACCCACATCTTGTGTCACTCTCCTCTTGGAATAATGAGAAAATGTTTGTGCAGAACAAGTAGGCGGGTTCTACGGGAGCCCAAGGTGGCCATAAACACCAACACAGCACAAAAATACAATGAAAAATACAACAGGGATAGCACGCAACAGTGTACGGAACCTGATTACAAAACAAAGCTAGACGAATTATAAATAAAAACAAACAAAAAGCCCCTCACACACAAATACAGAGGTCAGTGGTCTGAGAAATGTGCCCAGTACGTTTTTGGTTTTGTATGTTAAGTGTTGTTGTGTCTCCCCCAGTGTCACTGTGCCAAACACACACAGGCAGTTAGAGACACCAGGAGATTCCGATCATGTTAAACAGCAGCTCCGGACACATTTTCACTGACATCCTATCCGCTGTCATTGAACACTGGCCACAAGCTTGTGTTTGTGTATGAGTGTCTGTGCATCAGTGTGTTTGGAGTTTCAGAGTTAGTAAAAAATGATTTAAACGTTTTTTTTAAGTTATGTGAAAAATGTAATACTGTGAGATGGAAATAAACCTCTTGTCAATCTCCCTCATAATGACCATGCTCTGCATGGTGGGTTCTGTCTGCCCCCTTGTGGCTACATGGTGCACTACTTTAAACAGATCTAAGCAAACATGCAAAACATCACTGAAAGAGATTAATAGTAAGATTAAACATCTGTGTGTCATTGTTCACTTCTCTGTTGTTTATCTTTCAAAATATGAATAGGAAAAGAACTCAACCTTCTCACCTCTGGCTGTCTGATAATAATGGAGGGCCTGGGAATGTGGGGATACTTCAGCTCCGGCTCTGGACTGCCCTCCAACTCTGCTTCCTCCTCATCTGCGCTCTCAGACAGGTTACTGCCGGGTGGAGGAGACTCAGAGCAGGGCTCTTCATCTTTTTCCCGCAAGTAGCAGTTAGAGTTTGAATCTGTTCCATTTAGAGTTTTGCTCTTTGTGGAGCGAGAGGAAACGCAGCTGAAAGTCCTCTGAGGCTGTTTAGGCTCTTTATGCTGCTGTTCCTGTGAGGTGTCAGGTCTGGTTTCTGGCTGAGATGAAACAGGTTCTGCTGCTGGTAGCCCACTGTTACTTCCATTGTGCAAGGAGTTGTTTGGTTGGAAAGAAGGTGCCGGATCTGTGTTTACATCAGATGAGTTTCCAAAACAATTGCCAAAAGATGAACAAGGCAGACTGTGCATGCTTGCAGAGTTGGAAATAACCAGAAGAAACAAAAAGTAGAATCTGAATTGCACGGACATTAGGTGGGCACAGTGTTATATTTGGAGCAGATCAAGTTGTTACTCTGCTGCAGCCTCTGGTGACTAAACAAGTCTTCGACAAAAATGAACCAGGAAAGGCTCGACAAACTTGGGGAGTGATGTGTGGAATAAAAACTTTTGTCGATTCACCGTAATCCATGGCAAAACAATTCCCCAAAAGGAAAAAAAATCGTACTCCTCTTCTCAGCTTCCTTTCTGTGGTGGGAAATGTTCAAAAGTGTCTCTTCCCTCAGCCCATCATCGTCTCTTGCCTTTTGTGTCCAGACTACCAACGTGCATGTTGGCGTCTCAGGGTCGGCATGTGTGAGCTCCTTGGTGTCTCATTACTCTGCTTGGTAGTCCCTGGTTCTTTGTGAGTTTGGAGGCTGGGGCTGCGCTGAACTGTTCCAGCTTTACTCTGGTTACCATCTGATTCAGGGTCAGTTACTAATACACTTGCTCTACACTTCGCGACCATTAATTAATGAACTCATCTGATCACAGAGCAGTGGCTGTGGGTGTAAAGGTCGCTGCTGCGTTACAGATGGTTGATTATGATAGCTCAAGTTACCGGCAAATGCTGTAAGTGATAGGCCTGAGATGATAAAGAGAAAGGGGGAGTACGAGAGAAAGAGAGAACGACTTAATTGATAGACAGAGAAGAGAAACAGAAGACTAGCATCACCCCTCAAAAAGAGTTGGACAGAAGTAACCTTACTGTCTTTGGCTGATGGATACTGAGCTAACATGGGTTATTGGATATGATTCTTTTCCCCATTAAAATGAAATTATTACACAAGCAGAGCATCTTAATCTTCATCAATAATTGAATGCTGGTTTTCATTGTTCTCTACAGATGGACAAATAACTCAACCAGAGCAAATCATATTTTGAAGCAGGCAGATTTTCTAACCAGTTTCAAGATCAACTTCAAATAAATATATTACATAAATATATTGACAGTTCCTGTGTTTTCAAATTCAAAAAAAGAATTTAACTCAAATGTGCCATTTGTGCTCAAGGCTCTCTTACGGACCTTTGTCTTCCTCTGGTGGTGATGAATAAGAATTGCATTAATAACAACCGAAGCCCTCAAAGAAGAGAGCAAAGAATCACAAATAAGTGCCCTATAGAATCTTATGAACGAACAAAACCTTTAATATCTCCTAATTTTCAGCATTTTTTGTGCTTTTGTAACGGATAATGTGACGCAACGTCAGAGACCACAATCAGGAGCTCGAATTGACACAAAGGGAAATGTCAGTCTATTAGAGAGCTCCTACCAGTCCTTCAAATTAAACAGATAACATTTTAAAACTATAGCAAAAGAATGGAAAGAAAATGCAGTAAAAAGAAAGAAACATCATTCTTAAAGAGGTACTCGAGAAAAGCATTACTCAATCTATCCCTAAATGAGTATGTAGACCTAAGTGCGCGCACGAATCTGTACTTTGGAAAGCCTCGGCGGAAGTGTGATGCCACAGAGCGCAGCTTGTCCGTGATGAGACGGCCCGTGCACAATCTGAGGATAATCGCAGGTGGAGAGGCCGGTGGTGGGAGCAGGTGTCTTGGTTGTGGCGGAAACACGCGTTAATCTCGCCCGGGTTTTTTTTTTACACAAACATTTTGCCCTGGATCCGAGTCGCCGTTTTTTTTTTTCGCGTTCTCTGCCCTCGATGATCCACAATGCGGTCCTTGGCTTGGTTCATCGTCCGATGCGCTCTCATCCACTGCGCGCACCGGCTGACCGGAGCTGCCGAGGGACAGCGGCGGTGCAGTGAGGTGAGGAAAACCCTGTCGCGCTTCTGGAAATGCTATTATTATGATCACAATAGTAGAAGAGGTCGGCCCATGGATAACATGCTTTTGCGTCTGACATGTCTGCGTATCATTCTGTAAGAAACGCAACCTTTCACTATTTACACAACGGCTGGAATTTGACAACAATTTCCGGGGTAGTTTTTCTTTTTAATATTGAAGGGATCCATTTTTCATTTTCAGCCGGTGGGGCGTCTTAAACTGCTGCTGTCCTTTAAAGCAGCACGACGTGGATGGGCATAAATCTGTGATGAGGTCTGGTGTGTGTTGAACTTCACTCTGAGCTGCTCGGGCTGTTATCAGCTTCCTGCACGGACTGGCCTTTCCTTCCCTTCCCTTCCCTCTGCTCTGGCTCAGCTCAACACCTCCTCACAAGAGGCTGGCAGCACAGTCCCACGATATGGGAAGAGCATTCCTCCGAATTATTGGCTCCTTTCATGTTTTCACACTGACACACAGATAAAGTGCAACCCCATCCATTTAAGGCCTGTGTATGACTCTAGAGCAGAAGAACGTGGCTTCAGTGCTGGGTTACGGGGCCAGAAGGACACTGAGCAGCCCCCAAAGCAGAGATTGACCACAGCTCCTGTGGGGGTTACGATAGATAATGAGGGTTTAGTGAAGCATGACGTGCAATAGACTTCTGCTGACGTTTCACAGCTGGAGCTGGACAACACATTTTGAATAATTCTGTGGATTTAGGCTTTCCTCTTGTCCTCCATCATCAGTGTGACTGGGCTCGAACAACCAGATCAGTCCACACAAAACGGCCTGCATTCACTGTGTCAAAATCTGGTTTGGCTCAAGGAATGATATTATATAAACTGTCTAAGAATAGGCCTCTCTCTTCTGTAGTGAGAAAATGTGGAGTGGAGTCCAGACATTAAGCTAATGGTGTTTACCCTGTATAACCGATTGAATCGACTGCACGCAAGAGTCGGATGTCTTTGATGGTTCTGAAAAGGCTAAAAGCTGCTGATAAAACGACCCCTCCTTTTCGTGGCCAGCTCACCGCTGCCCTCACCCCTGCTGCCATCACCATGGAGATGGTATGTTGTGTGTCCAGGGCTGAGGAGTGTTTTGTGTTTGAGAGATGACACCCGAACCCACGCTAATGTTGCCTCAGCGTGTGGATAGTGAAATTGACAGCGGCGTTGTTTGCTAATGCAGTCACACAGTCACTCCGTGGGCCATGATCTGCAAAGCCTTTAGTCTGAGATGAGTCAGAGCTCTCATTTCGGGTAGACGGCCATTGTAGCAAAGTGTTTACTGACCTGTCCTCGGCCTGCATTTGCTTCCTATTTGGCTCAAAGCCCCCCCCCCTCCCCATGAGTAATCTGTCTTTTTATGTTTCTTTGGCAGACGGACTACTACTACGAGTACACGGAGTGTGACAGCACTGGATCTCGGTGGCGGGTGGCCATTCCGCAGAGTCCCGGGGCCTGTGCAGGACTACCAGAGCCTGTCCGCGGCACAGAATGCAGTGAGTGTGAAAACACAGTGCATCTGTGAGGGTGTGGATAAAGTTGACTGTGTGTGTGTGTGTGTGTGTGTGCCACATTTTGATCAGAAGCTGTCATTTCCACCGCCTCAGTCTTTGGGCTTGAGCCAGTAACAGAGCATAGCTGCAGGCCAATAACCCTACAGCCCGGCCTAATCGCATAACCTCTCCCCGCTGCAGAAGCTGCATCGTTTTCTGTCTAGGATGAGCATAAAAAAAAAAACCCAAACACTTTTCCACACAGGTTAAGGGGTCTAAACTATTAACACAAAAGCACATCGGATTCATGAAACAAATCATTGCATTGTTTGTATATGCAAATATCTTCCCATGTTAGGTGAGTCACAGGGAGTGTTGCGTTCCTTTTAGAAGTTATCTGGCTCAACAAACTTAAACTGATAAACATGCTGATGTTTTGCTATGTAGTAATATAAGTTTGTCTTGGTTAGTCCATGTACAACAGGTTTGTCCAGTTGCGCTTTGCTTATTTTTCTTGCGGTTATCAGTAAAATCTTTGTTACTCAACACGTGCAAATGTCAAGTAAAGAATTAGCTGCACCGGACCTTTCTTTGGAATCTGAAAGAGCCGCTACTATTTTGTTGTTTTTTGGTGTATTTTTGTATTTTTATTTTTGTTGTTCACATTGTAGAGAATAAAAGTTTGAAGGCTTCTTTTCTCATAAACTGTAGGCATGTGTTGAATGTTTCTGTGTGAAGGTAAGATGTCAACAGGTATGTCAATTATTTATCGTTTCCTTCTTCCTCCTCAGGAGTTCAGACCAAAATCTTGATCTACCTGAAGTAATTGTCTGACATAAGAGCTCACATAACTCTGAGTTCACTTTAATGCAGCACAAGAGTCTCCAGTGGTTACCTTAGTTGTCATTGGCTACGTTATCAGAAAAATACAGTCACAGCAAACCATTTCCAAATCAGGGCCTGTATTTCCCTCGTTACCTTTACCGACTGCTTATTCAGGACCTTTTCACTATTTCAAATTGTACATCTGTGCTGTGGTTGCTTTGAAGCACAGCGAGGCATTACTGTGGCATTAAACTGGATCAAGTGTGAGGAAAAGCTGACACTGTCAAACAGGGGCGAGCGAAGAGCCACGATGGCTGAGTGGCAAAAGTGCAGAGACAGACACGCTGTGTAACAGGATGTAAGGATTAAACTCTTCCAGCACTGGGGTGCACTATAGCAGATGAAGCAGCCATTTGAATGACTGTTGTTCCGTCGGCTTTAATCTGATCATTATTTCAGGAACTCTTGTCATGGCAGAATGTGAAGAAAGGTTGAGAAATAACTTCACTGTCCTATTCTTCTTCTTTCGCCCCTTTTTCCTGCATTGCGTCCTCAAGCCTTCTCTTGCAAAGCTGGAGAATTCCTGGAGATGTCAGCCCAGGAGTGCACCCCGTGCGCAGCAGGAAGCTACTCTCTTGGCAGCGGTATCCGGTTCGACCAATGGGATACCATGCCTGCAGGATTCAGTAGTCTGGCAACCTCCGTGGAGAACAGTCCCCGTAGAGACGACAGGCTCTCCTGCAACAGGTAATGGAGTTGCAGTTGGAGTGTCTGGCTTTAAGGTGTAACGCGTCATTTTAATGTATTTTTTTGTCTTACAGTTCATCATGGGTGCCTCAGGGAAATCATCTTGAGTCCAACAGGGATGAATGCACAGTGTCTCTCATCTATGCCGTTCATCTGAAGAAACAGGGTTCCATCAGCTTTGAGTATCAGTACCCAGACAACAACCTGTTGTTTGAGTTCTTTGTGAGTATCACACAGCCGTTCGGTAAATGAAAGAATGTGTACAAAATGTTATTGTTCTACTGGAAAAAGTTAGGTCCATCTGTCAGATTTCCCATTGATCTGCCAAATTTGTAGATTATTGTTTGCCATCTGTTGACAGTTTGTTGACTTTCTGGTAACAGTCATGTATGTGGATCATTTACAGAGGGTGATAGGGAGACAAATTATCATCAGAAAATGGCTGATAACTTTGAAATGGTTCAGTGCTCAGTGTTCAGGTTCTTTTGCTCTCTACACTGGATGCCGGTATGCAGCTGTTGGGTGTTTAATTTCAAAGCTTCGCATTCATAGATGGGACAGAACCGTTGCAATGTTAAACTAATAAAGTAGCCATGTGAAACAATAACAGATTAAAGTAAAATCGGGCACAATACATTCAAACTGTAGTTTGCAGGAAGTAATAGTAGGAATTGTGCTTATAACAACATTCTGATTGGCATTCACTGTATAAAGAATTTAACTCTCACTTCTCAAGCTATTATATCTGCGGACACTTTTTCAGTGACTTCAGGTTCATTTTCCACTTTATTCTGAACATTTTTCCTTTTAATTACAATCTCTGAATTAAAGTGCTCAATAATTGTCTTCAAAATACTAGCAGTCTGACAGAAGAATAGAATAAATGTAGTATGAAATACTGTGTAATGAAAATACTGAATCTTTCCACTACCTTTTCTTCTGTTTTGGTTTTAACTTTATAGCAAAGGTTTTTCGTCATCACTTTTGTCCAGCATTAAGCATGTTTTTTTATTTACTTTCATGAAACACCACATCCACAAAATGAGTTGGACACCTTCTGTACCTTTGTGTTTAGATCCAGAATGACCAGTGTCAGGAGATGGATCAGTCTGCTGATACCAAGTGGCTGAAGCTCACCAATCACGGTGAATGGGCAACCCACACGGTAAATGTTTTACCCTGCAAGATGATGGGAGGGCCTGTCTTTTAAAGCTGGCCTTAGCGTTCCAAAATAAATTTGTTGTGCTGCAGGCATTTGATGGATACAAGCAGGAAGCCTGTTAGTACCCAGACAGGAATGACAAGTGACATCTCCAGTAATTTTCCTGTCACGCTGCAAAATCAGTTGCTATGTCTGCGTAGTTCATTTCCTGCACTGCAAATGCTTTGTGCATGAATGATAAAGCTTTTTAGATTAAGCACCTGTCAGTTAAATTGAATTATCTCTTATGTACTGAAAGATCTTGCATTAACTTACTGTCACCATATTTAAAGTATGCTCCTTAATTTTCATTGGACTATTTTTATGCCCTCTGGTTTAGCTGCAACGATTACACTGATCTCCTACAGCATTTCAAATCTCATGTGGCATATGCCTGTCGAGAAGCCACATATCTTATAAATTGAAGCTGCATTAAACAGATCCAGACTGTTCACTACCCCTCTTGTTCATGCCAAACTGATAAAACTCTAATGTAGGTGGATTTGAAATCTGGTACCAACATCCTCTATTGGAGGACAGGGGGTGTTTTGATGGGCACTAAAGTGGTGAAGCCAGTTCTGCTGAAAAATGTTCAAATTGAAGGTTAGTAATACATTTTTTCCACCCTTGTTTTTTATTTCTAAATAAGGCCTAGAAAGGTACTTCTGTGTTAACGTTTTTCCCCCACTTCCTATTATGTCTTTCCAACAGGTGTTGCTTATACATCAGAGTGTTTCCCATGTAGTCCAGGGACGTTCAGTCGGGTTCCGGGCTCCTCCATGTGCGAACGCTGCCCTCGGGACACATTCTCTGGCCATGGAGCCAGTTCCTGCACGCCCTGTAACACCACCACTCAGTTTGCAGGTATGGCTTGGCACATGTGAGTGCTTAGAAATCTATGCGAAATCCTCCAAATACAGCCATGAACTGCACCCTTCTATTTAGTGGATCCTAACTGCTTTCACAGCTGTTGGCTGAGGCACAGAACACATCCAAAGGATTTAGAGAGGGTTTGTTCTATTTTCAGCCACATTAGTCAAACTTTAGAAGAAGAAACGCGCTTGTTAGCTCAGCACGATGAGCTTGTTTGATCACAAGGGAGGAGCATGTTTTTCCCATCACGATTCTGAATTATTTCCAATTTGTTTTTGAATGTGCTGTTGGAGGAGAAACATGTTATTCTTCAGTAAAAGGCACATGACTGCAAAGCAGACTCTTTAATGGGCACGGTTTAAATCACTGTACCAGCTATTTCACCTAAAAATACAGAGGGAAGGTAATGTTAATTATGCAGAGTGTGATATGCTAGGCACGATATTTTTTTCTGGATATTTTTTCCAACAGCTGTTTAGAAACTGTGAAGTAGGATTTTGAAATAAAATATTTTCTTATTTATTAAATTTTGTGTCCTAGCTGAAGGATCAGCTGTATGCAAAGACAGGCCACCATGTTCCAAAAAAGACTACTTCCAGATCCACACAGCATGTGACCATGATGGCAAGGTAAGAGAGGTGGCGCCGGCTTTCAGATTAAGGTGTCGATTTGATTTAATCTTCAACAACTGTAAAAATCTGTGAAATTTCAGACGCAGGTCATATATAAATGGATTGAACCGAAGATCTGTCTGGAGGCTGTCCCTGGAGCTCAGATCTTGCCTGCAAGTGGGGAACGTGAGCCCTGTCCGCCCTGTAACCCTGGTTTCTATAATAATGACACGGCCACTTGCTCTCCTTGCCCTCCTGGAACCTACTCTGATGGAATGAAACGTACTGAAAACTGTCTTTTTTATCTCCCAGCATTGTTCTCCTTGTATTTGTTTTGGGATATGTCTTTATTGTGTTTTTAATTGTGTTCATTTGGCAGCGTGTCAGCCATGTCCAGCAGGGACAGAGCCCTCTTTGGCTTATGAGTATAAATGGTGGAACGTTCTTCCGTCCAATATGAAAACCTCCTGTTTCAATGTGGGAAACTCCAAATGTGACAGGATGAATGGTGGGTAGTCTACAGTCCAATACTGTTGTTGTGAAGTCTTTTTCTTATACTTTTCTATTTGTCTGCCATATAAATTGAAAAATGTTACAAGAATCTTTCAGAAGCAGCGAGCCAAACACAAGCAGCACTCTGAAGCAGTTTCCTTATGTTTTGATTTCATGTGCTCATTTTCAGGTTACAAATATTTGTAACATTTGTATCGTGCTGTGCAGTTAGCCCTGAAAGTCCTGTTTCCCAGTGGATAAAACTTACCAGTTTTGTGGTCATATCAAACACTTGTAAAGAGGAATAACTGCCCCCTCTAGAGGAGGAATACAGTGCTTTGTGTCTTTTGGCCAGCAGAGGGCTGTAAAAATATATATTTTTTACATTAACTTCAAGATTAGTTACAACTAATATAGTTGTTATTATGTATGTATGTTTTCTTTAAAAAAACAACTATTGTACTGAATCTTCTCCATTCTTTAGGTTGGGAAGTTGCAGGCGATCATATTCAAAGCGGATCAGGGAGCTCGGATAATGATTACCTCATCCTCAGCATCCATGTACCTGGCTTCAAGTAAATACAGCCATAAAGGGTTTCACATTCGTTATTGAACTGTCTCTTCATTGCCATTTGGCTAAGTCCAGTTTTCTTTTTTCATATTGGGTGTTAGGTTGCCTACGTCAGTTTCAAGTCACTCAGTGACAGAATTTGGTCGCATCACATTTGAATTTGAAACTGTGTGCACAGCTGACTGCGAGCTCTACTTCATGATGGTGAGAGCGGCTCCTGACAATGGTTTGGTGCTCTGTGAAAGAGATGTCTCAGTGATGTGATTTCTCTGCTTTAGGATGTCAACAGGAAGAGTACCACAGTGGTGGAGTCATGGGAGAAAATGAAACCAAGACAGACATACACACACATCATGACCAAAAATGCTTCGGTTTCTTTCACATGGGCGTTCCAGAGGACTAACCAACTTTCAGATGTAAGCATGTACACACAAACTCACACCTTGCTTATTTTCAAATTAAGGCTGTCAAAGAATTATATTGATTACCTACATGTACGTCACGCTAATTACTGTATTTATTACCTACACACTTTAGATAACCTTGCATATAACAACATCCTTGTCACGTTTGATATGTTTGGGGAAATCCATCCAGATGTTTAGAAAAACCTTAATTTTATTCCATAAATAAGATACTTTTTTTCGATCACCATTGCTGAAGAGAAAATGTTGTTGGGGTTTATCTGGATAGTATAGCTGTGAAAGCCAACTTTTATACATGAAAAAGTAATAGTCTGACAGGTTTTGCACAAGAGGAAGAAATTCAGTATCATTACCTTCCCCATGTGTGGTCAACCAACAAAAACAAAAGGGTAACAAGGTATAAGCCCACTGTTAATTTTTTTTTCTTCCACCGCTTCAGATGCGCCGGTACATCAACGACGTGGCGAGGATCTACTCCATCACCGTGAGCAACGCTGTGGATGGCGTGTCCTCCAGCTGCCGGATCTGTGCCCTCAGCGCACAGCCCTCCAGCTCCGCCTGTGTGCCCTGTCCGCCCGGGCACTACATAGACACACTCACCAGCCAGTGCTTGGAGTGCCCACCAAACACTTACCTCATCCCTCACGCCACCCCGGGATCTGAAGCCTGCAAAGTCTGCGGGCCGGGTAGCAAAAGTGACAAGGTCAGTCAGAAAGAAACGATCTAATGCCATTTTAAAAAAATACTTCATAAATGGCTATTCACCTTAATAGTGGGCTTTCAATTTCCAGGACCATAGGTTCTGTTACAATGACTGCCACTTCACCCACACAGAGGGCAACACCACCCTGACTTTTGACTTCAGCCTCCTGGGGTCTGTGGGGTCACTGATGAATGGTCCAAGTTTTACTTCCAAAGGAACCAAATATTATCATCTGTTCAATATCAGTCTGTGTGGAGGACAGGTTTGTAAAGAAGGGTAACCTCTCACATGAGAGCGAGTGTCATTTCAAAGGTTTTCTATGCCCAGATTGAGTGACTGTATTTGTATAATCTGCTTTAAGAATCGGATGGCAGTATGCAAAGACAACGTCACAGACCTGTCAGTGTCCGAGTCCCAGAGGGAGAAAGGAGATGGTCCCAGTGCTGTTAAGACCTTTATCTGTCAGTCAACAATAATCCCAGCTACCGGACGAGGCTTCCACACCGCACTCTCATCCCAGTCCATTAACCTGGCTGACACATTTCTTGGTAAGTAAGCAGAGGAAATTGATTAATTAATTTGGAGGGGGGATCAAAAACTTGCCAAAGACATGAAATGATTGAAAGAAAATAGATTGTAAGAAGTAAAATACTTTTTTTTGGACAGGGGCATTTTAGCAGTTTAATGTTAAACTCCAGATACATAATCTAAAATTGTGATAATTCGACTTGTTGATATTAGAAGATACAACGCTCTTTTTATATTCTTTATAGGTGCAACTGTAGTCGATAACCTTGAAGGCGTAAGAACAATTCCAGACCTGTATCCCAAGATGTCAAACAAAGTCCCTGACATCAACTTCTACTACAGGTACCCGTCTTCTTGGACACTTTTCAGTCAAGTACAAAAGCGAGTGGTCTAACATCTTTCCCCATTTCCATTTCTTGGTTAGATCCTTGGAGACGACATCGTCTTGCGAGTCAGGTCGGAGCACTGTGGTTAGTCTTCGCTGTGACCCAGATAAGAGCACGAAAGGGCAGCTCTCTGTGCCCAGGTATTGCTTATCATCTTTGCTGTGTCATGTGGGAACTTTTACGTATGCCGTATTTCACCTTGGCTGTTTCTGTCACAAGATTCTGACCTACAGTTTGTTTTTTTACTCTTTTCAGTCGGTGCCCTGCAGGAACATGTGACGGCTGTGCCTTTCATTTCTTATGGGAGAGCTCAGGGGCTTGTCCTACATGCACAGAGAGAGACTACCATCAGATAGAGGGAGTCTGCAAAGGAGGACACCAGGTGTGTGTGGACTTGGCTCTTGCACAAGAGATTCTTTGTTTTGGGTCTACAGTAAAGCACTTTAGAATAGACTTCGATTTAAAGAAAACATGTTTTTATTTTCCTTCTTTTCAAACTTGATATTTTTTATGAAAATGGAAATGTATTTCATGACTTAGCATTGCCAATATTCCCTGATCAGCCTTACTATTATGCCCACCTACCTTATATAGTGTTTATGACTGGTCAAGATCACAGCGAGGATCATTTGAGCCCTGTGGGGTGTGGGGAAGGTCTCTTTGTATTGGGCTTGCTTCCAATGGATGCTATCAAATCCCAACAGATTTAAATCTGGAGAGCTTGGAGGTCAGAGGAAGACCTTAGGCTATTTTACATGCTTTTTAGCCCTTCTTAAGCTTTTTTTTTTAGTGGTTCAGTGCTGTCCCTCTGCAGAATGCTCCTCATTAGGGAAGCTGTGCTGCCATACTGTGTTAGATGTAGGGCGTGATTGGTCTGCAGAAAGGTTTAGTGAAGTGACAGTTTGAAATCCACGAGTCCCAGGGTTTAGGTTTAGGTTTAAGAACGTGACATTGGATTGACACAAGTTTTGTTCACATTACTGACGGGGCTCCTAGTATTATGGTGGCTTGGGTTTAGCTTTTAACTATGCATCTTTGTCCACAGGACGTGGTGTACGTGTGGACTGAACCAAAGTTGTGCATGGGAGGCGTGACCTTGCCTGAAAAGAAGACGTTGCCCTGTGAGGGGATGGAGTTCTGGATTCGGCTTGGTGCAGGGACGGGGTCTTTCACTGCCGTGCTGCTCGTCTGCCTCACCTGTTACTTTTGGAAGAAGAACAAAAGGTACCTCAAAATCGCGCCATCCATTCCTCGTATTTGTTCATGCCCCCTCTTTTCAACCTCTTTGACCTGTTGTTTCTCCCTCCTAAAGCGGAACCCTTTTATGCCTTGGGAATCTTTTTATTTCCTCTCTCCCTTTCATCCTGTCTCTCTTTCTTTTCTTTATTCGTGACATGTTTTATTTTTGCATTCACAGGGACAAAGTTCCTTCTATATCGATTTATTTTTCTTGTTTCTGTTCAAGGTTGGAGTACAAATACTCCCGGTTGGTTATGTCTGCTAATAAGGAGTGTGAAATGCCAGTGGCTGACAGCTGTGCTGTGATGGAGGGCGAGAACGAGGGAGACATGGAGGATGAAGTTGTGTATACAAAACCTTCTCTACTTAGAAAACTCAAAGCCATAGCCTCCAAGGTGAGTAACGGCACCACCACATCGAGGAAAGTCTCTAAAAGCCTTTAAACTGTTGCAAAATAAACATGTTTGTTTCTGCTTTTAGGGAAATGGTGAGAACTATGAGAACGTTCAGCTGAACTCGTCCCAATCAAAAGCGCTGGTGTGGAGCTAGAACTGTGGGAAAGTGAGCTGGAAGTAGGGGAGGTATCAAACCCCTCAAGATGCTTTGACCCCTTTAACTAATCGCCCCCATTATGTGCTTTGGTATCTGGAATACCACCAGTGTGTGTGCGAACACACACCCTTAAACTAAACACACATCGTGCACCTTGTGCAGGGTTCAGAGGAGTCCCGCTTACATGGTGGCCTTAACGCTTGGTACGACAGAGCCATAGTACTGTGAAGCCGGTGTGTGACACACGCCACAACATCTTGTTCAGAAACTGCTGTCAGAGAAGGTTGTTAGAAGAGCTCAGGGTAAGACAGGGACTGATTCGAGTTCCTGTGTCTTGTTTATGTTTAGCTTATTTTTATTTGACTCTGTAAGATGTGATATTTCTTTGACAATCATGCCATGTCTTAGCATTAGGATTACCGTGGTCAGTGTGTTTTCATCTCCCACCGATGCCTCACACGGATCGATGTGCTCTTGCCATACAAGAGCTTCATTTTCACATTCTGTTGGGTGGTTCTTTTTTTTTTTTGGTTTTGATATTGTTGAAGATGTTGTAGTAAAATCTCCTGATGGAATGAAAATGATCACACCATATTATGCTGTTGAAGTTGATCTGTTTTCCATGTGAATCAAATAAATTGTGACTGAAGTATTTCTCTATAAGCAGACTGTGAGTGTTATCTCGTGACCTTAGAGACTGAGATGTATAGTGGCATTGAGGGTGAGAGTGTGTTTAATGAATTTGTCTTTTTTATTTTATCTAACCGGATCTGCTCTGAGAATTTGGAAGCCAGATGTCCAAGAATGAGTGTTGAAAAAGCAAACGCAGGAGGATTTATGTCTTGTTTGATCATTTGCTCAAAAGTTGCTGATGTATATTGCATTACGTGAAAAAGAAAGAAAATCATGGAATTAACAAGGCAAGAAATGATTTGGATAAATCAAAACTTGGTTTTTGATTACGCTAAAATATGTCATATATTTTAATATTGCAAAACATTACATTTCGTCTTGTATATTAGGTATGTGAATAAAAAATCATTGACTTGAAGTTTAGCATTGATTTAGAGGGGACTGAAGTTTTTTTGTTGGCTTAAATTTGAGGATTTTTTAAAACACTTTTTTAGAATCTCTGCTTATCTTCAGAGATTTTTATCCTCCAAATCTTACAATACTTTAAAGTCTTCCGTCATGTTTCTTACAAAACTATTCCTTCGAAGTACAGAGCTTTGCCAGCTGAAGCAGAGTGGGTTTTAATGAGATAAAACATATTATATTTTACTGGCTAAGGGCAAAGTAGCTCAGTGTGCTATCAACATGATTTATTGCTCTCAAATGATCACAGTTTAGGCTCATAAGTAATTTTTTTTTTCTCACTCATTTTAATATAAATTAAGTGACCTCCTATTAAATGAGTTCATGGTGTAGGAGCTTTAATGTCCTGAATGTAACATCAGTGGTTATAATTTAACATACAGATAAAGACCATGGTGAACTGATGTCAGTATTACGCAGCTTAAGAAAAAAAAACATTTCTCATAATTTTGTTGTGGACATCATCGTGTTAGATAATATAACATGATTACAAGCAGAATAAAGGGTTAATTGGCTTGGCTCCTTTGTGATAAAAAACTTAAATGTTTTATTTCCTGTTCAGCGCCATATAAAAGCCAGCTAGATTAAAGTGAACATGGGCATAAGTGACAATCAGAATCCTCACAACTGCAGAGTGGACAAGGCACTGGAGACATAAAATGCTGAGTATCAGAAATTGACCAGAACAAAAAAAAGAAAAATATTTTCAATGTCAGAAGAAAATTAAAGATGAACGGGCTAAACTAAAATAATTCAATAAGGTAACATAAAAGAATGTTAACCATTGAAAATTAAGCCCAAGACAAAAAGAACAGGCAGAACTTAAACAGGAACAGACCAAAATGCAGTCAATAACAGTTGCTTTTAAATCTTTTAAAGATAAAGTAATCAATGGAAATTAAATGAGAAATTTCAAATAATTAAAATTAAATATACAAATAGATAAGATGAAAGAAGAACATAAAGGACATAGACAAAAGAAAATTAATAGTCCATAGAAAATGGCAATATTTCACAGCATGGATAAATAAACCCACTCATTATATTAGTTTTATAAGTCCATTCTGAATTAGAAATATTCTTGTACTGCTTGAACTCAATTGGAATGTTCGCTTTGTATAGAATGATAATAACAGAAGTACAAAAAGACACCTCCAGAGAAACCAGAATAAATGCTGCTCCATAGTGGTCAGATCCCTTTGAAAGGCCATAAGATATGGCCGCCTGATGGCACTAGGTGGTGCAATGGGCTTTGTTTTGAGAGACAAGAATCCCACTGTGATCTGAAAATACGTAACTTGTGTTTGCCATTCATGTTTCAGATTTTCTCCAAATAAAACCTGAAATGAATTTAATGGACAGTTTTAGTGATAAACTGAAATTTTAATAAATTTTTATGAATAATAAATTGTTTTTTTCAATATCCACTCCAAAAAAGAGTTTGGTTTTCTTCTCAAATAATGAATATGTACAGCAATGAATATGTAAACAGCATAAAAGTCAGTTTGTTTATATACTGTATTCTTCCATATATAAGAGGTCAGTGCACACACAAACACACATACATACAGAGATATATATGTGTATTAACAGAAAGGATTAAAGTCTGATGGAAGTTGATGCCTTTACCTAAGCAACCACCAGGGGATATCATTACCAGAGCAGAAAGCACTGTGAAGGTCTCCTCATCCCGTAATGATTGTGTGAACTTTGGAAATTGCATCATACAGCTACCCTCTGTAAATGAGTCAAGACATTTTGAAAACAACAACACTTCCAACAATATTCTCAATTGATCATAACTAATTCCTGAATCAGCTCAGTGACATGGTTCAAAGCAAGCCTACAACGACACATTCTGTTTGCCAAAAGAAAATTCGTGGCTCGTCTTTCATCCTTCCCAATTTAGGGTTTCCCTTTCTCTTCTACTTTAATTTTACGTTTAGCCTTTCTTAGAGAGATTGAGGCTTGACAGTGGTGTGCATTGTCCTAAAGCAGGGAGCACTCCAGTAGAAGGTTTAATTGGAGGGCCGTCACTCAGGGAACAGATGAGGCAGAGTGTTAGAGCCATCTTTCAACATTTGCCAACACATGCTATGAATAGAGCCTGTGTGTGTGTGACGGTGTTGGTGTTTCTAAATCTGTGTTCAACATTTAGACCTTTACTAACTCTGCACACAGACCCACTGCACGACTTTTTCGGAGCTCATCAGGTGGAAGGATGACCAGACACCTGCAGCTGTTTGTTTCATGTTGTTTATTATGATGTCAGCACAGCCTCATTATTGCACATTTCATAAACACGGAACTATTGCTTTGTGACTGGCCAGTTCCAGACTTCAGATTGACCTCAGCTTCATTTCGCCTGAAGAGATCCTGTCTCATTTGAAAGCCCAGAGGCCGAGGACACATTCTATTATGTAGAAGGAGCTACAGCACAGAGGCCTTTGTAGAGCGCATGGCAGTTGGCAGAGCCTGAATAGAGGAACAATAACCACAGCGGAGGGCTGTTTGAAAAGGATATTCATGAGTAAAGCCAATTTAAGAAGTTTTCACATAAAGTTATTGCACATTAGAGGAGATAAATTCAGAGAGGTAATGAGTTTCTAACTGATGCAATTTCCTTATATCTGAATTCCAATTTAATTTTCCCATTCATTCCCCAAAATCCTTTCTCTGACATGCTTTCATCACTTTTTGAACCTCCCCAAGGCAGCCTCAATGGCATATGCTGCAGTAAGCACCCAGATCCAAGTGCTCCAGTTGAAGTGTGAGCCGCCAGTCTGTTGCTCTGGCTTTGGTGGTCTTGGCCGAGATGGACTCCGTAGCAAGTTTCACACATGGAGTGGAGATGAGGCGCATAAGAGGTAGTGAGGGAAAGGTTGAAGGGGTGAGGTGGATTGTGAGAGAAAGGGTCAGAGGAAGAGTGTGAGATTTGTCTCAGACTAGTTTTTAGACTAAATGAGCAGAGAATCAGGGTTAAGTGCTCCGTTTGTGTGGCCATTAAAAGCCGTGAGGACAGGGCTCCGGTGAGCCAAATCTCATCAGTCACTGCCAATTTGAATCGGAACCAGCAACCCGTTTTTCCTCTCGCTGTTCCCCTTTTCTCAGCTACTCCTCACCCCTCCTCCTACTCCTTCTCTTCATGCAGACAAATAGACATTCCAGCAGCAAATGTGGTGGTGGTGGTTGTCCATAGCAACCTGCCATGCAGGGTGTATCTTGTGAGAGCAGGACCACTGTGTGAATGGCTAAGCCTTCTTCCAACAAAGACTGTGAATCTCCGAGATGCTTTGAGCTTCCATAGAAGTGCTGCGACTTCTAGGCTGTGGGAGTGCTTTACATAATCCGGCAGCAGCATCCCTGTGCTCCGCCACACCGCTCTCTCCTGCTGCTCCCTGCACCTTACACACACGTTCCAATGTAGGTCGGCTCATCTTGAGGCATCATCTAAAATTCTTTCAATCTATCATTCAGTGTGATAATCACAGCAAGCTGTTGGAAAGGGGCTGTGTGAAGGAGTTGACCAGTCAAAAGATGAATATTTAAAAGTTCAAGCTGCATCTACTGTGTGATTCTTTTAAATGGACAAAACACATTTTAATTGCTTGCAAAAAAAGGCATTTTGTTCACTCACCTTATGAAAAACATCAATTGTAACAGTCACACTTTATTTTAGACAGCATTCTATATGTAAACATTTAAGATCAGTTTATTAATAAATTACTACCATTTTAAATTCAACAAATATCAAACTCTTAAAAATTGAATTTACTGAATTAGTCTACTAATTTAGCTTATTGTCTTTTCAAATAGCAACGTGAGTTTTCATATTATTTTTCCCATATCCCACTACATCGTGATTATCATCCAGTTAGGATTCTGCCACATTTCCAGCCACGGTAATAAATGCATGGATGTCTTACTAAACTTTATTTATATTATGCATAACTGTTCTGCTCTCACCATCCTTTTGTTAGCTGGGATCTGCAGACAGCTGACACTGTGTGCTCTGCTCCCTCTGTGGGACTGCCAAAGCCAGCTGCTCTACTGTGCCTCCCAACATCAAGACATTTAACACAGGCATGTAAACTGCACACTTCAATAAGTAGACGAGTCACTGACTCAGTCTTAATAATATTTATATACTTCTCGTCTCCGCTCTTCTTTCACTGGAGCCGCTGAGGTGTAAAAAGTAAAACTGGAGCGATGGCTGCGAATCAAAGATGTTCATGTTTTTTCAGCGTCCGACTGGAGAAAGCAGAGTGGAAGAGAAGGTTTTCATAAGCAAGAGATTTCTCAGGATCACTGTGCCATTACTTTAGATAAACAATCAATGGCAGAAGGCTTGCTCCAGAATAGGATGTCCTGCCTGGTCACTGCTCTGAAGCATGTACCTCATGCCGAGAGCACTTTTACATTTACCAAACAAAGACTAGGAGTGGGTGATGTAAAACTGATCTCTAACAACATCTACCTATAAAACATACAGTAAGGCACATAGCCATATTCAAAACATCACCACATATGGAGTCTATGGGGCACAGAAAAAGCTACAACTGCCCTGTATTTGGAAAAAAAAATCAGCTCATGTTCATCAAAGCAGACCATTTTCCTCCATTAGTGCGTGTGTCATTTGAGTACACAAAGTTCATAATTACAGGCTAAGACACTGATTTGCTCCCGTGGACTGAACTGCTGCAGCACAGTCTGTGTCGACAATTTTGAGGCAAAAATAAATGTATTTGTTGAACTGTATCTTTTCAGCCCAGCTATTTGTTATTATTAGTAATTCATCACAGCAGTCTTTAAAAGAAACAGCAGTGTGAGAGTGGGTGTGACATTTTGTTGCTTTGCTGAACACACATCTGGAACTATGGCCATTTAGATAAAGGGATTCCATAATTAGAAGTACAAAAATGAGCATTTGTATCAAAAGCAAAACATATTTTCCTGCCAAAACGACCAAAGTATGTTGTCATACAGATTCAGGATGCAATGTGCATCTGTTAATATGTGATAAGATGAATTCTCAAACTGAAAATTGCAGGTGATTTTGATGGATTCCCCCCCCCCCCATTCTGGCTGCTGTTGCCTATCCAGTTTAAGCTGTTGTCACATTCATTCTAATGTTACAAGACCTTTAACATTGTGCTGTTTGAACCATCAGTAGTATAATATACAAATGTACAGATACATATTAGAAATGCATACATCATTGGTTATTACAATGAGACCTACAAAAAAGCACAAAGATAAAAAGTCCGTGGGTATTGCAGGTGAGGCAAGCAGAGCCACAAATGTGCATCCAGACTGAGGGACACAGACCCTCCTAACATGATTAAGCGCATGTCTATTTACACAGCATCATAACAAAGCTATCAAAAACAAAGGCTCCAAAAATTCCTCCTATAAACTTTTTTTTTGTTCTTTAGTTTCTCTACATACAACAGTGTTGATCCTATGTATGTACACAACTAGAAAATAATTTAATCATAGTTACACACTTTCTACATTTGTGAAACAATACAGTTCTAGTCCACAAGAAAGGAAGGTGTGTGTTTGTGTACATGTAAACAAGGGTGCGTGTGTATGTGTGTGTGCGTGTGTGTGTGATTAGGGGAAACAAATCTGGAAGGGACAATGTTCATCATTTGGCTAACAGTCGAAGGGATAGATTTAGAGAGTGGACTGGATGTGGTCACAGAGAGGAAGTGGTGGAGTCGACAATTTCTCTCCCGTTGCAGACAGTTGGGACGAAGTGGGCGCTGACAGAAGCTAGAGAAGAATTGAAAGGAAAAGATTGTGGAATATAAAGACAGGCGACAGGTTTACGTATCATTTTTTAGAATACCAACCTGGAGCCATCTATCGATTTAAAAGATATTCCTACAGATTGCTAAAGACAAATAGTCGGATTTCTAAGTAAATATATATTTTTTATTCCTTTTTCTTCAAAAGGTTACACAAGTGTTTTTGTCATTCCTGTCTCCAGCAATTTTTTTTTAAATGCATCAAACATTGTGCTGTTTTATATCGTGTCCTCCGTAAAGGCAGTTTTTGAGTAATTTCAAACTAATTACTAATTGCATTCTGACAAATACCAGAATAAGACATGACAATACAAGCTTTCACAAAGCCCATCCACATCCTAATTGTGATCTAAATTTCTGCAATGTTACCTTAAATCACCTGTATGTACTTTAGTTTCACCTTAAAATAAATTCAAATACCACAGACATCAGTAGACACGATGGTAAGTTTACAGGGTAAATTGCAGGGTATGGAGTTAACAATTAAATTAATAAATCCTGACAACAATTGGTGTTAAGAACCTTGTTAATTTATGAATGATTGTATAAAAATGGCACTAACTGTAGAACAGAAACAGTTGGGAAAGGAGAGAAGGAATTTGAAATTGAGGAGGAAAGAAAACTTCATATTCTTCTGTGATATTTGAATTTAGCAGCTCTCCTTTGTTTTACATCTAATTTATTATCACACCGAATGTTTTCAGAGCGTGTCAGGTGTAAATTCAGGGAGGCCACTTTTGGCTTTTCAACAGGTTTCAATGTTGTAATACAGGCACAGAATGTGGATTGAACATCAATGGTGAATCCACAGATGATACATGCAATTCATACCATTTCTGACGCTTGCTTTTGAACTAGTTGGATGGGCCCTCTGTTGTCAAGCCTAAGGAATGTGGCACAAATGATTTTCAAAGAATAATTTGATAGTTTGATTTATCAGACCTATGTCTATCTTCCATGCTCGCAGTCTCTGAATTATGTGTTTCTTTCCTTTACATAGCAATAATGAACACAAATAATTTTATTCAGCAACAATTGATTTAAAAGGCTTTCCCACACAAAATGCAGAGCCACTTGAAAATGACATGACCATGACCATGTAGAATTCAGATTTTAAGCTTCACTGCTTTAAATTTTCTGTTTCTTTTTGTCCTCATTTACTGAGTTTGAATTGTTTTTACCTTTAACCCACCTCCTAAATTACAAGGCTATCCAAGGTAGTGCTTAGTTAGCACACCATGGGCTAAAACACATTTTTCTGAAGGGAAAATAAAAAATCTCCTCTTCCAAATATTACAATGTCATCTCATTTTGAATTTGGTTTCTGTCACTTTTCAAAATAGATTGCATGTGAAAGCAAAAGTTAGTTTACATACAGTATTTAAAAGAAAATTCAGTAGGCAGCATATAGGCCTTGACTCCAGTCTGTCTGATGGAAACGGCTATCTCTTTAGAAATAAAGGGACTGAATGCAGCTTACCATGAGATGCGTATGTAGTGGCAGCCCCACTGACACTGAAGCGATTCAGGTTGAGCCTGTGGCTGGTCACATTCTTTTGGGGCTGGAACATGATGATATGGACCTTGGGAGCAAACATACAGCCAAGGACCACAAAACCACTTAGGCTGACTGAGATACACATAGTAGTGGTCTGAACCTGCGGGAAGATAGTGAAAAGACATGTAATTAGTATCTGGACTTTGATGGATAAAACTTATGCTAATTTAGCTTCAGTTAATAACTAATTTGATGATGACAATCTATAGTAATAAGCACTGTTCGAAGGTACCACTATAGATAATACAATGACGGCAGTTTAATGAACAGACCGCAAAAATGCTGCAAGAACAGCCAATCTGTATGCATGTGTAAAGCAATGAGGCGTGTAAAGTGAGAGAACAACTTTGTTGTCAGGCTTTATTACCTTGTCACAGTCCCGAGGATAACAATTACAGAATCAATCAATAAAGGACTCAGCCAACAGAGAGCACAACAACCAAACTTAACAGTCTCTCACTGGCAGATTTAACTTCATTCTTTGTGATTCATTGTATCTATCAGCGTAAAGTACTTCCTACTCTCTTGATCGCAGGTCTGCAGAGCTGTTTGTCCTACTCAGGTTGCCCTAATCATTGCTGTAAGTGTTACAGCAACTCCAACTGAAATCACATCGCAGCTGAGCACATTAATCAGAAATCAACTCTTCAGCATCTCATCTGTTTGTGTAAATACTGTGTGTGTGGGTGGGAACACGTGTCAGTAAAGTTCTGTCTGTGAGAAGACTAATCTTAAAGTGAGATTACAAACTGCTTACACAAGAAGAAAATACACAAGATGTTTTTTTTCTTTTTCAACCTTCTTTATCTGTCTGCTTAACCAGAAATGGGTTGCACTGGGCTCAGCACTCCTCTCTTGGTTCGTTTGAGACACCATGTATTTTTGAATGTTTGATGCCTTGAGGTGTTTATGTGATCACTTAAAATTTGTTCAAGTCAGGTGAATATTCTTTCTCCTTAAATCTGGCTATGAGTCAGCAGATTAACAGAGTCAGTCTTTTTGTCACCATGGCACTTCTGAGTTAGGACATCAGCAAATAGGATTAGAAATGAAGTTGCTACAACACCAGTGATGTACCTGTATTGTTATCTGTCTGCCTTCATCAGTGGAGGGGATAAAAACTGCTTTAAGAAATTATTCCTAAAAAATTCTGCCAAACTTAAAGCTTACTCTCAAGGTTACTGGACAGTTCTGTGGAAGTGTGCTCATTTGCATTTCTTCCTGAGTTATTACTTATGTATCAGGGTCAAAATGCTTTATAGAAGAAAAAATACAGAGTCAAGCAATCAGTGAGTCAAATTTTGGATGCATCCGCATATCTGTGTGGGAGAAGTGTCTCCAAACTTATGACTTTTGTTGTGTATATTGGTAGATTTATTCTTTACCCACAGTGGTACAGTGGACATAATACACTCTCTTGTTAACCATGAAACCACTAATTGTTACATTGAAATACAATGATCTGTGTGTTTGATCCAAGGCATGTTGTGCAATTTTAAACCTTGTGCCTGTTTACAAATCCAAATAAATTCCATCTTTAGCAGTCATCATAATCACCATCTATAACTTGTACATATATGAATACATTATGTAAATGTACCCTGTAGTCGGTGGATGTGACATAGAAGATGGGAAGAAAGGCCAGCCAAATGATACAAGTAGTGTACATGGTGAATCCAATAAACTTGGCCTCATTGAAGTTCTCAGGGCACTTCCTGGTCTTGAAGGCATACCTAAAAGAAAAAAACAAACATATTTCTTCTAAAATACACACCACCTGTAGAGTACTTGCAAGTATTTACTGCACTGAAGATTTATAGAACTTATAATCTGTTTGAATGGGCCATGATCACAATTGTTTGAGGGTTCATTATTTACAATCATGAGTGACAATGAGAACAACGGTGTGACACTTACACAGTACACAAGATGACCAGGAGAACGTCATATCCGAGCGACAGCAGCATGCTGGAGTCGCGTACGTTACATTTAAGGATGACAGTCTGCCGTCGCTCTGGCAACGTGAAGCGCCGTGTTCCGGGAACCTCCAGCAGCAGCCACACTGAGACCATCACTAACTGGACGGAGATTAAACTCAGACAGATGAACACCTGAAAAACAAGGGATGAGTGGAAGACGGGGCCATCACGATCCAGTGCTTGTCAGTCTATTCTTCCATCAGGCTGATGTAGATGGATGGACACAATGCCGCACTCGCTCACCTGAGAGGATGGGCTAATGAACCGTGGTCTGACTGCACCCGCGCCGTCTTTCACCCCATTGAAAATTCTTGCGATTCTGTTAGTTTTGGTAAGGAGGGCAGAGTAGCACACGGCGAACGACGTGCCCAGGCCGAGGCGTCGCAGAGCACAGATGGCAGGAGAAGGTTTGGCCAAAAACAGGAATGTCATTGCGTAGGACATAAACACTCCTGAGAGGAGGATGTAACACAGCTCTCTCCCTGATGCTTTAACCAGGGGTGTGTTGTTGTTTCTGGCAAACACCCAAAACACCAGGCCGGTGCACATGAACCTGCCGACAAGGAGGAGGTAGTGCAGCCACAGTAGATAAATGTCACTTTCATACCATTGTTCCATTACATAGAAATGGTTCAATTATATTTGGCAAATGGCATTTCACAAAAAAAACAGGTAACTGCCTTTTGGCAATATTAATAGATGCTACCATTTCTCTGTACAACACAGTTCCTCGGAAAATACAAGCCAACAGCTGCCATTAGGCGAGAGGCAGGTAAACCCTGGACAGGTTGACAGGAAAGCCATTTTATGTTTTGGAAATTAAGAATATAAATTACAATGTTTACAGTGGGTATAACAATTTATTGTCTTTTTCAGAAACATTCTAATATTTTCTGCATACCACATGTATCTTTCTGAAAAATTATTTGATTGAGCCTCATTTGATCGTTAGGCTCAACTTGATAAATGCGGTTATACCTGATAGAACATCCCTTTTCTGGCATCAGATATCCATTTTAATGGGAGAAGGTTTATCCCTCCTGCTGTGCTTCTGAATAAGTTTTACAGCAACAAGTTCTCGATTTGAAAAGTCTTTATTGCTCACCCCACACAGGCGATGGTTATGGGACCAATGGCCCAAGCATCTTCCCACATTATATAGTCCTCTGGTAGGTCATAACAAGAGGTCAGGTCATCAGTGGGCCACTGACCAGGGGCACAAGGCGAGCAGGTGAACTCATCTGCAAGGTATTCGTGAGGCTCGCATGCTGTACAGATCCAGCAGCAGTATTCACCTGGGGAACAGGAATAATGGCAGGATAGCTTTTTTTTTTCAAAAGGCAGCAGTTCTTTGTATGTTTACATGATAGGAGAAACTTACTCTCCTACCTGCTTGCATTTTCTTCATCTCATTTCGTTCGCAGGGGTCGCTGCACTGCGAGGTGGGCACCACCTCTCTGGGCCAGTGAATCAAATCGCTGTTCAAACTCAGACTCTCTGCCCACTCACCTACTGGCACATAACTGTAACGTTCCCCAAACCGCTGGTAGCTGAATATGTTGTATCTGCCCATGCCGTCGCCCTGAGAATCAAACTTCACAACTGCCTCGCTGCCTGGGGGAAAAAACGGTGCTGTGGGGGGATGAGACAAATAAAGAAGTGAAAAGAAAGTGATGAGGCCAATGGAAAAGGAGAACAAAGCTGAACTGTCACTAACAATTAGGCCATTGATGTTGTTTGTAAGACACAAGTGGGAACAGAGAAAATAATCATTGGTCAGCTCAGCCTCATAGAATAAAGACCATTAGAATAACAATTTCATTACTGCGGACCAGTAAATTTAAAGTGTTTGCACACAGACAATAAATGCCCCGGATGCTTGGTGATATGAGAGTCACTGGCATCCCATCCCTAGATCACATAAGGATAAAAATCATTGGCTCAGTTTCCTATCTGATAAAGTTCACTACAAAATGCACCATTAACAAACTGTCTATAAAAGCATGCAAGTCATGCACAAAATTGAATCAGAATCGAATCCCCGGGCAACGTAATAGATACCCCACACTCCTCCAGCCAGTGGGTTTTTCTCTGTGAAGGAGGCACACAGCTGAAGTTGCCAACTGGGTTTGTATACATGTTGTTATGAAAGGATTACCATCTACCCTGAGGATGTGAGAACAGAAGCAAAACTGGTGTGATACTGAAACTATAAAAATGGAGGAAACGACCACGCACAGGGCAAAAACAAGTATTGGACCTGCTTCTGTTAACAACTTGGTCCTTTTGACTGAGGCTAAGTGTAGCCCTCTCCTAGGGTGCAACATCTGTCCCGCGAGCAAAGTGATCACCTCAGTGTTGCTGACACAGAGATATGTACTACTGCCTATCAAATGAAGATGCAACTACAGATAGTACATGGTATACCGTCCTAATAAAGGATCATCCCTCAGCATATAACGAGCCTCCTGGTCCTCAGTGTGCAGCAGCATCACTGATGCTGTGATACTTTCCCTGGGTCCTTCTATGCTTGAGTTAACAGAAGAATTTGCAGGGGAAATTCATTCTCCATACACGCAGTTTGAGATCAAAAGAAAGAATCAGAACACAGATTGCAAATAAGCTGCTGGGCTGAAAAGTGTGCTTGCATGTGTCTGCAAGGATGTGCACACAAATGTGAGTGGTTGCTGCATTAGGTGTTACTTTACAGTGTGATAACCAACGTATTGCTCAGAGCGCTGTGGGAGGCTGTGCTGACAGAACCCAAACTCTGACCCTGCTGTTTGTCTGCGTGCGTTTGTGTGAATGTGTGTACGTGAGTGCCAGCAACACTGACAAGGGCTAAAGCTGTCCTATTGTTGTGAAGGCTCAGCGTGTTCAGAGAAGAATGGTGTGTCAGATGGCAGCAGAGGGGGTTAGGGTTTATGAAATCCATAAATCACAGAGACAGCACAACTCTCTATCTTATTTCTCTCTCTCTCTCTCTCTCTCTCTCTCTCTCTCTCTCTCTCTCTCTATGTCACAGGAAATTCTGGGTGTCAAGTCGTCTTTTGATATCTTAGCTAAATGTTTGGGTGACAGCTAAATGAAAATGATTTCAATAAGAATGTGCTGATAACATCTTGAGATGAAGGAAACATATGAATCCATTATACAGCAAGTTGCCAGATAATAAAGTATACTCATAAAACCAAGCAATAAGCAAGCCAGGCTATCTTCCTCTTTGACAGCCAAACACACTTGCAGAAAGAGTTTGCAATGAGCTAATTATCATAACTGTGCTTCAGCAGGACCTCAGATGTGTGATGAAATCTAATTAGCTGCATGTGGTAATTACATGTAATGCAGACTAAAGAGATAACAGTAGTCTATTAGACTACATATCCATTTGAAAGCATTATTTCCTTGACCTTCCTAAAATGGATCAATTCAGAGAGCAAATACGCTGCTAGCACTTATGACTTCTCCCTGTAGTAAACATAAGCATCTTGCTGATGTGACAGAATGACTTAATCTAGAAGATGTCTGTCGGTGCAAGTTATGGTCGGGGAAAGTCATGACTCTTCTGACTGCAGACTGCAGACACAAGTGGTCCTTGTCTGACTGATGGATGACATTCTATCCCTAAATCACTATGGGGGGGTATAGTAACCACAAAGAAGTTTATAAAACAAACGCTATCTCTTCAATGCTATATTGTTTGTTGTCATCCAGTGAAAATAATCTTTGGAAACAGAGAAAGTTAACTTAAAAAACAAAGCTTAAGTCCTTTAATAAGCTTTGATTTTTCACACCCAGCAAGATTGAGTGAGGCCTTAATTGCTTATTGGTGTTCAAGTCTTTATGGATGTATAATCATGATCAAAAAAGCAAAAGCAAGCAACACAAAACAATGATGAAAACATTTCTCATTGTTTTACATAGCTCTTTCAACACAGGGTGAGAGAAGTTAGTGTAATGTAAATGAAAAGTTCTAATGGTCAGCTAAGTATTATAATAAAAATAGAAACAATACACCATAAACTGAACCCATTCAGTTTTTTAAGAAGGCATTCAGTGGATGCGTCCTTATGGTAGCCTGTGGACTTATGTTGGAGACTTTGCACACACACACTAGCAAAACAAAATCAAATGATTATATATTATCTCAACCATACAACACTTTTTCCTCACTCTGTCCAATTCAGCTGAGAAAACCACAGTAGACATTGCTCTCAGCACTGTTAGGACAATATTCTTTCCAGCAACGAACAAGAAATCTGTCTAATTTGAAATTCTTTTCATCTTAGACTTTTCAACTTAATTGTTTGACAACCAAAGTTACTCATTCCTAAAGAATATCAAAAAACGAGGCAAAACACTGAAAATCATGCAGTAAGGTAAGATAACCTGCTGCACCCAAGACGTTTTCACATTTCCACGAACTTGAGAAACACCTTATTATTCTAGCTTAATTAGAAGCACGGTGAAAACAGGCTTTCCATTCAAAAGCTGGAAAATTAATTATGTCCTCAGCCATGTCAGCCTAAAGTGAGTCCCACTGGGGATTGTGGGTATTAAAAGGAGGGAGACACAGAGCAGGCGAAGGGGCACTTTGGGGAAAGGGGAATAAATAGGAATACGTAATTCAAGAATGTAGAGAGAAGTATAAATGCTGAAAACAAGAGGACTATTTTGTTTGTGTGTGACCAAATACACACAAAGGCAAATCCCCTAGCATGAGGGGAGAGACAGGGATGCACTCATATGTCACAAATGTTCAGAAAGGAAGATCATATTAACTATATTTGCTCTCCCTACAGATTCAGTCTCAAGGGACACGGGAGCTGCATCGGTCAAACAGCAACAGGCCTTGGGGGAGTACCGGAGGACAGAAACACTGGAGAAAAGGATATCTAGTATAAAGGAGAGAAGTGTCCAGGTGGGAAACAGCGTAGGGCTGAGGCTTGTCTGAAAGGAAGGTGTTGAGATAGAAGGGACAAAAGACAGAAATGGCAGGCCAAAAACAGGAGGTATTGGGACAGAGGATGAGCCACAAGACAAGATAAGAGAAAAGAAAGGAGGGAAGTGACAAGGAAGGAGAGCCAGAAGAATACAAGAGAAAAAGACAGGAGATAGCACAGGGGACATGCAAGAGACTAACACCATGCCAGAAGAGATATAAGTGGATGGAGGGGATGGGTAGAAGGTAGGAGCACTCCAATGCTGAGAAGCTGCAGACCAACCTTGTGCTGTCTGAGTGGGATGTGCTGCTTTTGAATGTGCAGAGAGTAGCACACATTCTGGGTGAGAAAGGGGACCGAGATGGTGTGATGTAGAAAAATGGAAGGATGAGGATCAGGAGAAAAAAGTGACAGAGAGACAGAAGAAGACAGAGATCGAGAGACAGAGGAAGAGAGGGAAATGAGAACTAGGCAGAGAATGAGTAGAGGTTGTTTTCTAGCATCTAAACGTTGGAGTAAGCTCTGTGCTCAATATGGCCCTGAAGGCACACCGCCTCTGCTAACACACACTCGCACGCACACAGACACACACACACACACGCACAGAGAAGGGGGAATATCACATCTATCACCAGTATTTGAACAGAAGACTGCTTGCATGTGTGTATATACTGATCTGTTTGCTGCAGATCGGGGAGGTGGGTGGGTGGGAGTTGAATGATGGCTCTGAGAAGTGTGTGGGTTGGGGGTGTCTGCAATTTCATGCTGGTAGAAAAGCAGGCATTTCATGCTACCTCTTTGTAAAAAAGCTTACTGTTTTGCACATTTTTGTCTATCTGTCTCTCTAGCGTATGCATATCCGTGTTCGGTGTTTGAAGTCTGTCGCAAGGACAGAAAAACGCACAAATACGCTCCCGTGTCTATTGCTAGTTTGTATGGAGTAGTTCCCATGATCTACCAGATCCCCTCAACAATTGGCAACAGTGTCGGCTTCATTACCATAGCAACTAGTGAGATGAGACTAGATGAGAGCTGCATATAAAAAATTCTCCAATCCGCTCAACATACTCTCTCAGTGCATCATGTACACCGTCAGTAAAACACATCAGAACAGCCTCATCACAGCAAATGACAGCGTTTGCTGAATTGTGAATGAAAGTTAATGAGAACAGCTTGAACTTCGTAACATCTATGGGCCCAAAGAGAGATTAAACTTTGATGTGGTATAAAAACTGTGCAATAAACACGCATGTATGTAAAAGAGAAGACGGGAAAGAATCAGAGAGGGCTGAGGCAAGTTGATTTTCTAGTTCAGGCTGAGAGCACTGCAGATGGTGATGCTGCAGTATTTACACCCAACATCCAACCTCAACTCACCTCAGTGTCCTCCTTGCGTACTGTAGATGGGAAGATGTATATGTACAGCAGCATGAGTGAGTCATTCAGGGTGAAAATAGAACAGAGAAGAAATGCCGCTATTATACTTAGTTTATCCGTATTGCCATATAACTTGTGTAAACACAAATTCTCGGAATGAGGACATGGATGTGTCAGCAGTGAATAGGGACGGACAGTGGTTGTTAGGAATGTGAATGAGATGTGAATATAAATATGAAAGAGCATACATTCTCCCAATTTTTACTCCATTATGAATCCATGAATGAATTCCATACCGCTGTGCCTGCTCCAGTGGTCAAACGTAACGTAAAGAAATAAGAATATACAATTTTCTGTCAGATCTATCTATCTATCTATCTATCTATCTATCTATCTATCTATCTATC